TGGGTCTAAAGTTAAAACTAAACAAAACCCTCTTTCGCATCCCCCGGTCCACCCCCCTCCCTTCCCTTCTCGTCCCCCAAGAGCACGCCTTGAATCCGGCTGTACCTCGAACGTTAGAAGCTCCTAGACCAAGATGAGGTAGGCATCTTACCGACTACGGACTACCCTGCTGAGTAACCGTATTCTTAGCATATGGTATTTTTCCAGAAAAAACGAAAAAAACTAAAGAAAAAGACGTAAAAAAAAATAAAAATTAGGGATTTTAAGAGTGTTGGTGGATTTCCTGTTGATTATTTTAGGCCAGAAAGTCTTTAAGTATGAATGATGGTGCTATTTATCGAAAACTAAGGCATCAATATGTTTTTTTTTGAAGAGAATACAAATTTTCGGTGTTTTTTTTAGGTGCTGGATCCTGAAGAGCCACTGGAAATGCAAATGAATATTGGAAAGAATATTTTTTGCGAAGCTGTTGTGTAAGCTTTTCACAAATTTAATAGTTATTAATATTGCTACTACGGGTACTTGGGATATCCAAGCTAATTTTGGTATCTTACTATAAACTGTGCTTAAGAAATTGGGCTAGCAACGCCAAACAAACTGCATATGTTAACGCAAAGGCGATTTCAGGCCTCCGTCCTCTTTCAGTCTCCTAGCCAGGGATATTCATTGTTTGTATCTCTAAAATTTCTACAGCATTTTGTAAACTTACGCGAGAAATAAGCTGTAGTACAGCGCAATATAGTCGTAGTAAAATCTTAATTTATTAACTATAGTATAGTCTTTTTTGTAACTATGGTTTCAGTAGCTACAGTACGATGCACTTTTCAATTAAAAAAAAACTTGCTTTATCTCCAGTTTTACCGAAAAAACTTTACCAAAGAAGTAAGCAGCCTGAGTGTAGAAACACTTAGAGTGCTTAATTTTTCACCTCAAAAAAGTTAGTATATTCTAAAAATCTTAAAATCTATTAATGCACAATTTGCAGTGAGAAACGTGATCATGTTATCGTGAAACTGATCGATGATCTTTACGCGGAACTAACGTTAGAGCGAGCTGAAGTAGGCGTTTTTTTTTTCTTTGAACATTGAAATTTGCTTTCATTTGTATACTGACAAGGCTTTTGTGGGACCGCGAATTACAGCTGATTTAGGTATTTTGCTCTTATTCTGCAAAGGTGCCCCTCAGCATGCTGTAGGAGTGTCTGGAAATCGTTGAGCAGATATTCCCTTTACGATACGAAATGAGTACCAGGGCCACCAGCAAACTGAATACTGGGCGATGTAGTATTTGTAAAATAGTGAAAAATTGAAAAATTTCTAGTTTAGTGTCAGGAATACAAATCGTAAGTTACAGTTTATTCAAAAATAAAATACTTCCTTTCAAACAAAATACTTCACTGTTAATTTATTACAAGTCATGTGTACCCCACAAGCACCATACGGAGGGGACCGGGAAGGACGGGGGAGGGGGAAGAGTTCACCGTTATAGCTTCTTTCGAGGCATATTTCAATAGCTACCTTTGCATGTTGTTAGTGGAGCTACTCTGTCGAAAAAATGCTCTCTGCCGTCGTTTTTCTTCCGTGTTTGTACGAGAATCGGCAGAGAATCGAAGTGATAGTATTATTTAAACAAACACTAATTGTCGGCGGCAGATGACAGATATGTGGCAGTGGAAGGGGAAGGAGAGGGAGAGGAGGTAAGGAATGGAGGGTTGGGCAGGGATATATCTAAACTCATAGACGTGGATATTATTATTGTTATTTTTAATTATTGTTGTCATTATTATCACTGTTATTGCTATGACTGTTACTGTTATCGTTGTTATTACCACTATTATTATTATTATTATTATTATTATTATTATTATTATTATTATTATTATTATTATTATTA